AAGACACTGCCATGTCCATAGGGTGCTCACAGAGATTTCAAGCAAAATAGGGGGGAGAGTGATTATGCCAAAGACTTATTTGACAGCTAATTTTTGTTCAATTCCTCTCATAAATCATAAAGATTTTGCTGGATAATTTTTCTAAAGAGAATGAACTACTGGCATGACACAGTCCTTCCAACACATTTGCTAATACTCTTCTCTGTCAAACTGTGAAGTTAAGTGTTTTTATTGTTGAGCTAAAGAGGCTTAACATTAAAAACTTATGGAAATGGCTTTAATACTGAGATTTACTTCTAGAACACTTTTGAAATGCAATATCCCCAGGTACTTTACAAAAAAGCTAGACTCCATTTTCAATAGCTTTTGCTGAGTTTTTATCTGTATTCATCCTCCAGAATGTGCCATTATAAATAATTAATCAATCAGCATCTGCTATGCTCACAGAACACTTATATCTCAAAATTGACTGTTGGCCTGGTTCTGCACTTCTGAAGTGGCTGAGGACTTTGCTCCTAGCTTCTGTCAGAACAGGATAAAGCACAGAGCATCAGTCCCCACCACAGCCTTTGGGTCTGCAGGTACATTAGCAGTCTGACCCAAGCCAGTGGAATCACTCTGCTGGCTGGTACCTCATTGAAAATGTCAGCTGAAAAGTTGCATTTTTTAACTGTGTTTACTATTTGCAGAAGTACAAATATAGGTTTTTATTTACATATATCAGGGAAAGGGTCAGGGAGTATTTCAGATTAGTCTCAGTTTGAGACCTCATGTTATAACCTCAAGCTGTCCTTCCTCTGTCTTGGCCACACAGAGGGCAAAGCAATGTTTTCCATGTGACACTGCTGGTCCTGTCGTTCCTAGGGGTGACATCCCTCTACTCAACCCTTTGTTGAGGGCCATCATGCTTGGATGAACACTAACCACTCATCTGCTTTGCCCTGACCCCTTTGCCATTGATGGACTGTAGCTGAAGTTAGCAAAGCACAATTATCAAACTATCACAAGCCAATAAACGCCAATAAAATGTCCTGTATAAAATCTTCCCTCTTGTCTGTCTCAGTTGCTTTTTCAACCTCATACATTCTTTTAGACATTCTGTCTACACTCCGAGTGAAGTTAAACATCCTCTAAAACACAGATGGTTTTTACAGTCTGTTGTAGGGGAAAAAAAAAGGAAAAAAAAAAAAAAAGGGAAAATCCAGCAGAAATGCTGAATTAGCTGATGCAGTAGAAAACAGCAGTGCCCTTGGACAGATTAGCTACCCCGGGCATGTATAGGCCAGAAAAACAGTTGTGTTTACATTACTTTATCTTCAAAGTGGCTGTATCTGCTTGTGTAACAATATACATGGTAGTGCCTAAACCAATCCTGAAAGAGTTTTCTACAAAGAAGATAACCAGACATGATAAAAATGAGAGTGGCCAGCAGCTATCTTCTCATCTTATTACCGTTTTACCCACAGTTATGCAGTTCTCTTTAATTAGGTTTTGTCACCTTTACTGCCATCATACTCAGGCAAATGTTTTTTACCTGGCTTTGCAGAGTTCACATTATTCCCTTTCGAGAAAACCCTCACAGTCACACCTTATTATCAGATGTACTGCATAGTGGTGAGTCAAAAGCCATAGGATTCTTAGATTCTGAAATTCATAGATTCTTAAATTCATAGCATTTCTCAATGCAGAGTATGGAAGTCTAAGATTTTGAGTGGGTTTTTTTTTTTCAGACTGAAGATGCTGCGGCTGGCTTAACATAAATAAGAAGAAACAAAGATTCCTTCTTTAAATCCTTGTGTAATACAGCCAAGTTTGGGAAACTAAAGCCACAGCTCTCATGCATTCCTTTCTCTCTCACTTTGTCACCTGCCAAAACCTTGTTCTGGGTTACCTTATGAACTAATATTTAGCTTGATTCACATTCTCTTTTATCACTGTTTAATCTTGCCACTTGTCCACTTTTCATTTTTGTCCAAAAACCTCTCTTTGATGGCCAGCACAAGGAATCTTATGTTTTAAATGGTTCCACTTTCAAAAAACCCTGCTCCTTTCATCACTTACTCAGCAACAGCTAATACACAAATTTGGAATTTATACTGGCAAGAGCTTAGGAACTAAGACTGTTGCAAAGGCATTGCACATTTCTTCTCGTTATGCCCCTCATTTTGCTAGTTAGTCACATATTTAATGGCAGCAGGGATCTCTTCAGAACTGGCTTTGCTTATTTTGCTTTGTGCAAGATACTGCATGATCATTATTCAGGGTTGTAAATAATTCCTAATTACATCTCAAGGGGTCCATTTTGCCTACCTAATTCCTAAAGAAACGACTCTCTTCTGTTTATACAAGCTTGGGCCATATATTTAAGCCGTGGTGGTACAAATGTTTACCTGTGCAGGAACATCTCATAGGGGGACTGCTCCCATTTCTGCACAGCTCACCTGCACAAGAATACAAGGAATGAAGGTATGGCTATGAGGGTTTCTATCCCTTACCAAGAAAAGGAGCTTAAAAATGATTTTGCCTTCAGCACATAATGCTCACAATGAAGAACATGTGGTTAATGAACAAAAAAGCCTTTTACTTTTTCCCTTTAACTCAGGCTGTCAGTATTTTCATGTTTATTTGCCAGATGCATCCCAGCTGCTAATTAAGCTTGAACAAATTAAGGTGAATTGAATCTTGCCTGAGCATCTGCTGTTCTCCTATTAGTATGGCAGGCAATGAAAGGAAGATGATGCTACATCTTTAAAAAGGCCATTTATACTTAAAATTACTTCTTACGATACACTAAGATAGAATATTTTTTCATGAAGTGTACATAACAATAAAATGTGCTGTAGAATATGCCAGTGAGATGACCTGGGTTATAATTCTAGCAGTTTTCTTGGTAGATTCTCATAATATACAAAATTAAGACTAAGGTTTTAATTATATTTAGGGGTGAAGAAGGAGCCAAGTATCAAACAATCCCCAAGCTGAGTGGCTTGAACAGGAGTGATGAAGGTGTAGCTTCAATTTCTTTCTGGTTTTGGCAAATCCAGCAAATAAAAAATACAAGGTAGTGCCAGGCCCTGTTCTGTGGGGCTTCTTTCCTAGAGAAAGGAAATGGCACTTGTGTCAAAACAGTCCCCTAAGTAGACCTTAAAATGGGAAGTAAAACAAGATGCTTGATGAGTTCTGCCTGTGCCAAATACATAGGTACTGCTTACAGAGCTCGAGAGTCTTGGTTCCTGTAAAACTGCAGTTAAGATGGTATTTAAAAAAAAACCAAAAAACCACAATATTAAAAATAGTTATGAAAGGGAAGCAAAAAGTAAGTCATTTTGATCCTGGAGACACTTTTAGGTTATTTTAGATGCAAAGAAAATCTCTTCATAAAAGAAATATAAAAATGATTAAAACTCTGTGCCTTGAGAAGGTGCAGAGTTTGCTTTTACACAATTTGCAGCAAGTCTTTAAAGTGATAAAATCTTGAATATTAGATGTGCATCCCTTAGGGCTTTCATTTCATTTTTATACTGAAAAAAGGCTAATACAAGTTCATAGTAATCAAAAATTGTGATAATTGCCACTACAAAATTTCTCTGTAAAAAAGTTGGGGCTGTCTTACAGAAAAGTCAGTGAGAATTCATCAGAGTTAATAAATTTACTCATTGCACAAGAGACAGTTGGAAAGTGAAGTTTGTGAATGTGAATGTGTAGAATTTGGAAGCACAGGTAATAATGATACATGCAAGTTCAGTAAATGGTGGATTGTGGCAATTAAAACTAAGGATGCACAACGGTAAAGCTGCTGAAACGATGTTTTTTGCTCCTTGCTGTCCAAGGGGAATATACTGTTGAAGGAAAATCTAACAGACTTTATATCCCATAATGAATGTTCTTTTGCTTAACACCAAATGAAAGAGCCACAGAACCATTTCTTGTCTAAAGATGATTAAGTGTAAATGCCCACTGAGCTAAAGAACAAAACAAGAGATATTGATCCAAAAGTGGACAAATGTGGTTTTATTCAGCCCACCTGAATTTTGGCAGTTCCTAATGGTAAACTCAGCACCATGAGAAGGGGAGTTAATGATGAGGCTCTGGAGATCTTAATGATGCTTGGTTTGCTCTGAGCATTACCTGAAACACATTTATGTACTTGGATAAATTAATCTTCATCACTAAATTCTGTCTAAGCAAAATAAGCCAGGGAAATGGCTTTAATATGCACAACGAGGGAGTCTTAAATATGGGCTGCAGGACTTAAATATATCATTTGTACTTGAATAAAATCTGACTAATCCATCACATCAGAATCCTCCATTTTTTCCACGAGACAAAAACCAGTAAAAAACTGATTGTTTTTCCTCTTCCACGAGGGTATTCTGACTTGAAATAAGCATGGAAAAGAATATCAACTGGAATCTCAACCCTTCTTTTTGAGTCAAGGTTCATGAACTCTTTTTCATAATTTATTTTAAAAGTTTATCCAGAGTGAATCTGACTTGTTCTAACTATGCCATGCAGAATTCCCTACAAAGCCTTCTGGATCCTTTCTTGGCACTATTTGTGTTGAACCACACAAATGACACCCATGACAAATGACACACATGACAAATGACAAGAGCAGCAAGACACCAGTGTCACAAACAGCAGACAAAAGAGAGTACAGAATCTGGAGGACTAGGTGCCAATGAGCAACACAGAATGCATTTTGGATGTTAAATTTCAAATTTTAAGCTATTCATTAATTCATGAATTATTCATAATTCTCACTTAATAACTATGATGAATAATAATTACATATAAAATGGAAAGTGCAGGAAAAGAGATAACAATTGATATTGAAGAGATAACAATTGATATTGAGTTGATGAGAGATAAGAAATATTCAATGTCTTCCTTATTGAACAGCTAATATCTAAATTAAAACTTTTTTATGGTTTTCTCAAAAACAAAGCACATTTTCTACTAACACTTCAATGTTTTAATAAGACATAGATTCTTCATACCTGCCTTCTTCATGGACCAGTCCTGCTTAAAAGGAGGCATTTGTGAAATCAAAGCTAGAAAAGAAAGAATTTAAATTCACAACAGAATAAAAGACATTGTTATTGTAGAAGCTTTATTGTCAGATGAAAGAAAGAAGACAGGACAGTGTAGGAGAGGAAAAGCCTTGTGTAGTTAAAGTTATATGTATGGAATGATATCAAGGCAAAGATACCTGGAAGAGCTGCACAATGGAGTTCTACAGAGAAATCTGCATGAGACTTCAGTAAGTGAAGGATGGTTTGTCTACTCCTTTTCAGAGTAACACAATACAAGAGGGGATGTCTTAGCCCCCTGCCAAGGTAAAGCCAGACTAAAGCCCTGCCTAACTTGCCTAACTTGTTTTAAAAGTCTGCAGGAATGCAGGTTTTACCACCTCAACCCATTCCTGTGCTTAACCACCCTTCTCATAAGTCTAACTAAAATTTTACTCTTTGTTGAAATTTGAGTATTTTCTTATTTGTCTGCCATAACCACGGAGAATAGTTTAGAGTGATCTGCTGAGAGCATTTGGAAAGGAGACTTCAGAGGAAATCCAGCTGAGAGAGATAGAATAATTACACTTGGGGGAAAAAAAATCCTAGAAATTACTGTGTGTTAGAAAAAATATGGCAAAAGTAAAAACTGGTAACTCCAGGGAGTTAATTTAGTAATGGGGACCTCAGCCAGACTGAGGCATTTGCCTGCTACTGTGGATTACAGGTAAAGATGGGATCTTTGGAGCTACCAGCATCTCTTGGATGCCTTCAGGTCCAGCTCTGAGCCTCAGAGAGGAGATCTGGGCATGACAGCAGTCCATATAAATGTCAAAGTGGCAATTATTTCCCAACACTTTCTAGAGATATCATAACACACACTAGAAGGGGCAAAATGTAGAACTAAAGAATTAAAGAATTACAGCTGCTAATTTAAGCAGGACAAATTTTAGAATAATATGTGAAGTGTTGAAAGAAATGGAACAGGATACAGAGAGAGATGGAGATGAGGAAGGTAGAAAATGGAAGTGTTCACAGATAATTTAATTTATCCCTAAGAGGCATACATGTCATCTCAGAAAAAAAGTATATAAAAGATTAGGTATGACATCCCAGAAATACTCTAGGTAGAGATAAAAAGGGCAGCCAATATGGATGACATGCAGAAGGCAACCCTGGGAAAGAAGCAAACAAGATCCCTTGACATATGCTGTCCCCTCTATCACTCACAGAAGGCTCCTGGCCCCTCTGGCTTTTCCTGTAACAATTCATTTCAAAATAAAGATATTGTTCTTTACTATTGTTTCTCAATGGCCTCATTTGTATCTTACTCTTAAATTCTCTGTCAGTTTTGATAATATGCATTTAGCAGTTCAAGCCTTGTATCCAATTGGTTTACTCTTTTATTTTGTCTAGGTTTTACTGTTCTACAAAATAAGCAGGCAAACGAAATAAGTAATGTGAAGTAAGGTAAAGTTAAGACCAGCACTAACTTGTAGGAATAAAATCATATTTATTCTACCTTTTTTTTCATCACAGTGACAACGTGTGTTTCAGTAATCACAGATGAAGGAGGTTCAGGACTTCACACATTCAGTGTCTGTGTCTGTCACTGATCCACTCGTGACTGTGGAGCTGCTACTTACAGTCACCTGTAAAACAGGAAAATAATGTCCCTTGGCATATTTTGAGACATGATTAAAGTTTGCAAAGCATTTTGATACCTTTGATGAAGGATGACACATTAAGGTGACTAATTACTCTTAAATATCACCATTGAGTCCAAGACTCCAAGCAGCTCTCTGTTCACATTTGTCAGATTCAGCAACGGGGTTGGGTTGTGTCCACTTTGTCAGCTCCAGGGGAATCTACTTGGCACTCCCACTGCCCCTGGGCAGCAGCCCCTTGTCACAGCCCCTGCCCCCCTTGTGGCAGCTGCACTGGCCAGGCTGTGACCCTTTGGCCAGCCCTGCTCATGCCACCGAGCGAAACACGAGCGGGGACCTCCCAGACTTCCTCCCAGTGCCACCCCAGAGAGCTCAGCTGTCAAATACTGTCAGTGCTGGAGCTGTCAAACCTTGCTGGACAAAAGGCACAGAAGGCAACTAAAGAGGAAAGGGAATCACTTCACTGGTTCTCCTTCCAGTTTATGTCCTGCCAGGTTGGAGCTGGGGGTGGGGAAGGGCAGGAAGAAGTAGCCATGTCTTTCCTTCCTCTCGTACACTGGGTCTCACAACTGCTGTTCCATTTAGTTTATCTGGGAATTCTTTTTTCCTTAGCTTTCCTAAAGGACAAGTAAATGTTGTGCTTGTTTTGCCTTGAAACTGGCCTTAAGTGTAGTCAAAGTTGAAGTTTAGTTGAAGAAATACGTGCATGGCTAAACTAAAATACTCATAAACTTAAAAAAAAACATGACCACCATTGCCAAGGATGTCTTCATAGTGGTTTAATTATACCTAATAAAGGAATTCTTTTCAATACTCATCTGTGCTGCACAAGTTCAAAGAGGCATCTCCCAATCAGGTATTTCCCAAACTGATGCTGGTTTTCCTTGAATATGAAATAAATTTTAAAATGTCTGCTCAGATAGAAGTGTCAGTGACAAGAAAGGTATTGGTTTGAAACCCAACTCCCATAGGCCCTGCAGTAATAGATATTCTAATTTTTATCCACTTTCTGCTTTGAAATATGTGGATTTTGCAGGTGAGTGAAAAAAACAATTGAAGCATAGCATTCATGGAGCAATTTACTTATGTGGGTTTGCAGAATAAATTGTTAATTGAGATCTCTACTAATAAGTTAGTCTAAAAATGAAGATCCATGAACGTTTTGTTATTTAACTAATAGTAAAAATATCTTGGAAAACAATTAGGTAGTCATGTCCAAATCACACAAGCACTTATTTTTGTTTTACCATTCAGTAACTAAAATGGTATTGATTTCTATACTACCAAAGAACTGAAAGCCAATAACAAACAAAGATATATATGAGCATGAATAGGCATTTTATTTAGATATGAGAAGTTTTTATTTCACTTTTTTTTCTGGTTAAATTTCAATGTATCCGTGAATATGTCAGGATGACAGAATCTCATTTAAAAACTGTGAAGACAGCTGACAGAAAGTGCATTAAAAATTAGATTTTGAATTCAAAGAATGAAAGCTTTAAATCACTACAGGCATGTCTGTAGGACAAGATTGATACCAGATGCTATTTAGTACATGTTATTAACAAACCATTCAAGCCTTGAAGGGACCTTGTCACTACATAACTTCTGTCTATGTAAATAAGATTGAAGCAAGGATTTATATTGCCAGCGATATCGAGCATCCCGTACATCAAAGAAACAGGACAGAAAGTATTGCTCAAGTTAAAGAAAGTACTAGAGAATGCTAAAACCTGTGACTTTCTCCTGACTTTGCTTGCACACATAAATCACTCGACAGTGCCACACGAAATCTGCCTCATGAAGCACTGGCTGCCGGAGCAAGAACAAACACCTACAGTTGTCTCTGTGCTGAGGGAAAAGTGTTGCATTAACCAAATGTTGTTGGATTGTTACAAAGCAGACATTAATGCAAACTAAGTTAAGTTTTAAACTGAAAACAGACCCATTAGAAAGCCTTTCTTTTCTGTCTCCCTCTTTCAAAGGTCTCCTGTTCTTGCTATGCATTCACTAATAATTGTGGTGTGGAACGCTCAGTGCTCCAAGGAATATTGTCGTGGCAGTCGGAACAGCTCAACTCTGCTCCCCCCTGAACTTCTGGTCCATGACCTCCACTGACATTTAGACACTCTTACCTTTTCCTGTGGCCTTCCTAATTTACCAAAAGCAGTTCCCCCTTGCTTTTCACCTTATTACATGCACACTTATGCATGAGTCTCTTCAAAGGCATTGCACGTGTTACCAAAGGACAATAATATCTGATACCAATTCTACAAATATTTTCTCAGACTCAAAAGTTTCAATACTGAAGAAACCACCAGGAGATCACTCTGACCTTCTTTCTCAACCCTTCTGGTTGAACTTAAAAAGGTTTTCAGAAACATCCAGTCTGGATTTTAGGACTTGGTGAAAGCAAACACATCTCTACAAACATTTCTGAAAACATAGTTATGTGCAATACTGACGGTTTTCCCTTTGTTTTCTTGGCTTGATTTGTCTAAAATAATATTTTAAGCAATAAATAAATAGCTATTTGCTATAATAACTTGAGAAATCTTAATCATCACGAGTTTTGAAAGTAGAATTTTGATGGTTAGTATTTCATCTTTAAAGTCTTACGTGATTTTTTTTTTTTGTCTGTGATACTGTTTTCTTTGTGCTGACCTACATCCCTGACAACTACAGTAAAATACCTGAGCTGCAATCCCACTTTTAAAAGATGAAATGGTGGCTGGCAGATCATTCTCTGTGTGAGAAAACTTTGGAACTTACTTTTCTAGAAAAAAATTATATTTATCTCCATTCATTGCCAGGATCCCTTACTGGGGTTGTTTGTATTCCATAAATAAAACTGCATCAGGAAAATGATGTGTTTTGGAGCCCCTGAAACTGATGGAAACCTCTGAAAACAGATATTCCAACTCCAGGCTCGGAGCAACCTGGGCTAGTGGAAGGTGTCCATGCCCAGGGCAGGGGGTGGAAAGAGATGAACTTTAGGGTCCCTCCCAATCCAAACCATTCTGTGTTTCTGTGATTCTTCTGCTGGAGGGATGAGAAGAAAGCCTGCAAACAGATCCTCACTAAGGTTCATTCCTCCAAGCTCCTCATGCTTTTTAGCAAGGTTGTCTGGCCTACATTACTTTTTGCTAGAAATATTCCACAGTTATCTGTCTCCACATGACAAATAAGGGACTGTTCTTTCGCTGAAATTTAAAGTTGCCAGAAACTCTGCTTGCTATCAAAGACATGAATCCAGCCCAGGGACTTTACCTTAACATGATGCCTAAAAACTGGATCTGGTGCAATTCCAAAATGTCTCCCTTTTAAAATTATTGTTCTTATTTTACTTCAGCCTCCTACTGATCTGACAATTTGGAATTACAATGTTACTGGATTTACACATATTATTGAAATACAGTGATTTATTCAACGCTGTGTTAGAAAGGGTGTCAAAACACAGAAAACTAACTTTCCCCTGTAGATCTGGATGTATACATGATGTGTCTTTCTCTTAAATCACCTTCTCTTTGTAAGTCTATTCATTGTTAGATCATCCCCTTACGTGAATATTACAGTCTCATCCCAGGCTTCATTGGAATCTGCACAAATGCCCTTGATTTGAACAACACACAGCAGGTTTAAATTCTGCAATAAATTTCAAATGGCAGAATTAGCACTTCAAGTTCTTGTGAGTGACTGAGATTGCAAAGAGCAGCTGTGTTTGATCTAGTCAGCCCACAGGCCATATTCTGAGACTGTTGGTAACTGCAGGGAGGGGGAGAGGACACTCCTGTTTGTTTTCCAAGCACTGAAAATAATTTAGCTTTATTTTACTACGGATGGAGAGATTTGGTTTGATGTCTAGGACTGTCATAAAACAAAGATGACCTTTCTAGGAGCGTTGATGCTATGAAACCTTAACCCCTGAGTGCTCTTGCAGCAGTGCTTCCCCTGCCCTCCCCGGGTTATGGGTGTATGGGTGGTTTGAAAAAGCTTTTCCAGTTGCTGGCAAGGCCAGTGGGCTGGTGCTGCAGCCAGGTGTGGGCAGATTGCAGATGCATTCCCACCTCATTGGCATTCCCCACGTGGCACTGCTGCCTTGAGACAGCACAACAGCCTGAACTTTTTCTCCTCCCCACAGGAGGTGAGCCTTGTCCTGGGTAATTCACACACTGCCTTTTACTGCTGGAGCATGAAGTGGCTCCTGTACACCGCTGGCTTAATGAAAACCTGACAATTTGTAGTGTTTCCTGGCCCTCTGATCAGATGCCCTGCCTAGTTGAATTACTGCTGCAACAAACAATGAATTTAAAGCATCAGCTTAAAGCTTACGAGCTTAAATTGCCTGCCACGATTCATGCAAAAATTAGGATCAACGAAATGAAAACATATAAACCCAGACCTCCTCCCTTCAGTGACTGTTATTAAGCAGAGATTTACAACCAAAGCCCAGTCATGTTAAGGTTGGATGCACTTTTCAACTAACAAATATTTCAGCCATTAAATGATATACTTTACAACATATTGAAAGATTGCTCTAATATGCTGGTAATATATATTTCACTGAAAAAGAATAAATTCCTTTTTTGGCAGAAGCAGTAAAATCTAACCTGATGAAATGGAAGTTTGAGCTTTGAATACTGTGGTCTCCCATTTATTGATGGCAGGCTGATTGATAAGATAGTATAGTTATTATTATTTTCTATAAAACAATGAGAATCTCATTGCTTCTGAAACTTTCCAAACAAAGTTGACTAAATTATGCAACATCAACTTGAAATTGGCACACAGCCTTTTCTATATGATAGGGGACAATTAAATCAGAGATAATGGAAGGAATAAAATAATCCAAGCACAAATCACTAGAGAAATTACTGAAGAAATGTAGCATACCAAAACAGGTGAGAATGAGCAAATAAATATTATAACTTCAATTAAAAAATAGAGTATTTAATGAACTGGAAAGGGATGTG